AAGGAATGAGTTTGTTTGCAGACAGTTTCCTTATTTTGATGACATTGTAATTGCGAAGAGGACAGTAGATTCAATTTTCCCCTTCCTTAAATTTATTGAATTGTCAGACTGAAAATCTCTTTCGGTTAAGTAAAAATTTCGATATGAAAATAATGTCATAGATTTAAAAACTATTGCAATTTTTTAACCAAAATTAAACCATTCTTCGCAATGATTTTGTTTTAGATTATATTCGATAAGGTTTCAATGAAACAAATAGTATTCTTTCCACCCTTATCCTTGGGTGATAGAAATCCAATTGCCTTTTTTCCCTGAATGGTAATCAAAATAAGTTCTTGTTGATAAAATCTGAATACACTGCAATGGGCACAAATATTTTCTTTTCAAAAATTCTGGGCATTCCTTTGAAGTGTGTCGCATTTTCATCTATTTTCCATCTCTTGTTTACGTAACCTTCTAAAAGATTTCAATTCGAATTACTGCCCTGCCCTTAAGCATTTACTTTAAAGTCGCAAACTGTTTTGTGGGAAAGGGGATGTCTTGCCTTAAACGGAAAGAAGTTACTTGCGGACAGGAAGTTTTCCAAAAGAAAACCAACAAACAAAAAAAAAATACCGATAATGCGTAAAATTCCATTAAATCGGGTGTAATTAAATGACATTTACTTTGGCCACATTAAAAAGGGCATAAATCAGCGAGTTCAGTAGCAAAACATATTTTCGACCCCGGGAAATGTTTTTTTTTCTTGAAAGTGGTGGAGAGGGGACTGTGGTGGATGACAAAATGACTGGAGGAGATCCAGGGGACGAAGGCCAAAGATCTTTCCTTCTCGTTTGCGTACAAAAAGCTAAAACAAATATGGGGTGAATTGCTTTACTTGGCTTTTTCCGGGCAAAGTGGAAAAGTGGACCAGAAACCGGGATGAAAATGGATGGACAGAGAGGAGGATGCTATATTGTACACTTTGGAGGTGTGTATGGGGGGCAAACGGCGCGGAATCTGCTAAGAAACCTAATTTATTGAAAAATTGTTCCGCGGGGTGTGTCGGTTTGACTTGCTGCCGTTTTGTTTTGTTTTTTCCGCCCGGGGGTCATGCTGTGACCTTTTCGCTGGCGCTTTTGTTGTTTCACAGTGCTCACAGTGTTATAAAGACAACATTCTACTACTTAATGTCCATCACACCATCTAGAACTCCAACTCCATGCTCCCCCTCCCCACCATTCCAGTTGCCGCGTTCCTTTGTAGAACTGCGAAAAAACTGTGCATCAAAGAACAAGTTTTGCCCATTCACAACCACCATTTGAGTAATCTCCTTACCTCCACGCAGACTATAAAAAAAAGTTGGGCTTGCCTCGCAGCTGACAGCCGCTAAAAGCCACAAAATCGTACATTAAAAAAATAAGCAAAATATTACTTTTGGGATGACCGCGTTTCCTTTACCTACGATTTAACTTTCACATTTTCATTAGAAGCATCGGTAAATCACAGGCATTTTTTCGAAATACGAGTGTATATCCAGAATCTTTGTGGTGGGGAAAGTTCAGTTGGTTTAGCTAGTGAAAATCAATAGTGGGGACACATTCTAGAGGGAATACAACTGGAGGGCAACCCTTTTAATCAGGGCTAACCGTATTCTCCCCGCGTAACTGGACATTTTATGCCCGAGGAGTTAAAGGACTTTAAGTGCGGAAATCGATTTAAGCAGACTTTCCCTTGTTTTTCTAGAACTTAAGCTTATTTAATCTTAGAATCATGTTTGGAAATGCTCTCAAGGTTCTAAAATACAGCTACAAATCTATCGTGTAGTTCCACAGCAATAGTTTAGGTATCCGCGTTCAGAAGTTTTGAATTTACAATTAGCATTGTGCCGAGGTATTTTCTGAAACAAAGTAAATAAGACTATATATATATATATTTTTTTCATCAATACTACCCACACCCCCTGTAGTTATCCTGATTACTGTATTATCTATTGTGAATGTCTACCGATTCACATATAAGTAAGTTTGGGAGTGTCCAAAAAGGAAGTTGAGCAGCTTTGGGAGTACAAAGTGCAATGTATTACGTGTTAAATCTAGTCCTATTTTCGGGGATGTTCTGGAAAGGAAAAACACGCAACTGGGGAGGTGGTAAAATATGAAAACGGGAGCAGCAGGATGGGAAAACACACCTAAAAGATTGATGACTGTCGTGGCCATTTGGCGTTAGGACTTTTCAATTATTGGTTCGACATGGCAGTGGTTTGCGTGATTTGCATTGTTTTTAGTCCATGTTCTGGGTATTGGCCCTGTCCCTGATCCAAGACCAAGTCCTGTTTGCCTTTGCCTTTGCCTTGTTCCTTGTGCTTAGTGCTAAGTGCCTTTGGCATATCATCGTGTCGCGGACACTCTGTCATTTGGTTGGTTGGTAGTTAGTCCTTAGTCGTTAGCACTGAAATCCAGTCGCTAAGTGTTGGCAAACAATCTGTGTGGCAATGTGGATATGTGCTGGCTCTGTCTTAATATGCAACATGGATCCCCTGTTCTCATATAATGATTTGTCAAAACTTTGATTCTGTACAGTGTTCTGTATATGTGTTCTTAACCAATTGTATTTAAGGCGTTTTATCGTTTTGATTAGTTTTTCATAGTTTTCAGAAAACATTTTTCTATAAAAAATATAGATAAATTTGTTTGTTTTAGCAGCCAATAGAACCAGCAAATACTAAAAAACTATTTCCAAAAAAATATTTCTAATGATTTCAGTAAACTTGAGTTCTGAACTTTGACTTTTCTATTTTCTTTCATTTTTTCCAGCATATTGATCACTGTGCAATAGGAAAACGTTGGACGCAGTACTACAAGTCACTCTCATTAATTAAACCAGGAAGAGCCAGTCTCAGTTGATTTGAGATTGAATTCCCCTGCCCCATATATGCAATTTTGCCATCTCATGTCTGCAAGGACCGAAGCTACTTACAAAATGTATTTTCGTATTATATGTTTGATTAAGGTTTAACGTTTCACTGGATTTTATGGTATAGAAGGAGTTTTGTAACTTCGTTGTCAATTTGTCATATTTATTATAAGTAATAACACTTTAACTTTTACTTATAAAAGACTTTAGACTTTAGTTAGATTTGCTTCGAAATTGTTTCACTTTTCATTAATATTATCTTTTATTCTAGTTAATTTAAATATTTGCTACAAAATATTCCTGCTACTGTACTAGTATGTATTATTTGTTCTCGAACTGTCTTGTTTCCATAAACCCTTCTTGTGAGTAAATTTGATGTAAATACCCTTGGGGGCTAAGTCTGCTGACCGTAAAACCATTAGAAAACCCAGACCAGACTCCGTCTAAAAAGTCACTTCGATCGCTTTTGCTCCTGCAGATGGAGCACTTTTCCTTTACATTCGTTTGATTTGTTTTTACGATGCCCAGCACTCGACTCCCTTGACTTCTAATTGAAAAGAGGTTTGAGCAAATAAACACAAATTGTAATAAAAGTTTATTTGCAATAAATATTTTTTGGATACAGGCCAGTGCCTTTTGCCTCGACAGGAGCTTCTGTTTTGCTGTCGCTCTCTCGCTTCGCCTCCTGTTGGCTTTTGAATTTTTTATTCGAAAAATAAAATTGAAAATTCAATTTCGCAATCATTTTGGCACCCCAGACACACACACACACACCCACCTATACCTACCCTTACCCAATACAAGCCACCCCACAACAACCCATCCAGAAAACCGCGCTGGAGATTAAAAACGACAATCTCCTCCTGACGGCAGAAAAGCTGCAAACTTGTCCAAGCCAAACCGAGAACCAGACAATATTTGCACCAGGCCAAGGAGACCAAGGAGTTGCCTTCAAATGTGAATTTCTGGATGGCAGGATAGCTTCATTAAGACCATGGATAGTAAAACCTGGCGACTCGAAAGTTTGCCCTCGAATTTTGGATTTGGATACCCCTTTTCGGAATACCCAAGGGGGTCGGCGGATTTTAAAGTCCTGACGCGCCTTATTGGACATTCTCGTAATAATAATTAAAATATAAAAAAGGATGAGCAACTGGGTGAAAAAAAAGGACTGCTCCGTGGACTTAAAGACGATGGTGTTTTGTAAACCCCTTTTAAAGAGTGGCTATTTGTCGAATGGATCTCCAAATAAGTACATGGCTACGTTTTTAAGGCTGGAAATTATTAATTAACCCGTTGTTAGCCCACAGCGGCCTCATTTGCTTTGGCGTTTTTTTTAAATTATGCACCTATTAATGTTTAAAATGCAAATGCCGGGACACGGCAAAAGGACGACTAAATGAACTAGGACGAGACAGAAACAGGACACAAAAGCCAGGGTTTCGCCGAAAGGTGTGCCTTTCCTTTTACAGCTATAAAGTTTTATGTGAATAATGCAAACCGTTGTCAAGGAATTATGGTCTAGCTGAAAATGTTCGCATAGGGTCACTTCTATGGAATGTTCATTCGTTTATAGTCTTTTACTTTTGCACACTGAAGAATATATATTTTAGCATTGGATTTTGTTTTCAAATATAGTCTCAAATTGTTAATACTTAAAAGTTGCGAATAGATTTAGATTAAGTGCAAATTGCCTGCTCAATTTCTGATACAACAATCCAAAATTCATTCCTAACAATTCCATATAAACAAACCCCGAATTAGAGGCAAGACACAAGCAATATAGAGACAATTGTGGTTATAATTCCACCGCTCAACCATTAGAGGTCTTAAGGACTTAAGGGTCCTTAAATACTGGCATTCCAGTAACCTTACACCCGTGAACATACCCACACATGAATGTACACACATGCTACTGGTTTTATTTGTACATTAAGTGTTTTATAAAGCTAATCATGGCGAAAAGACTGGATCAAAAGTGTAGAGCATTCAACCACAAACACGGTCGCCGAAGCCATTTAACGAAATGTTTTCAATTAAGCCAAAAATACCTCAAGGTATGGTTGAAATCACTTAAAGAAATTATAATCACTTTGTACACATACGTTTAACCTCCTCGGGGCTGCTCACTTTCCTCGACTTTTCCACCGACGCCAGCTTTCCTTTCCACCCTCCCTCAACCAACACATTGCGTTTTCGTTAGTGGAGAGTTGAACTCAGCAGTTGAGTTGAGTCGAGTTGAAGTTGAGTTCAGTTCAGTTGTTTTTGTAGTGGATTAACCCGAGCAAAATAAATAATTTCACCTGCAGATGCTGGCGAGTGCCTTATCGAGTGCCTTACCGATTCCACTTGAAGATATCTACTGCCACTGCGGCACAGCCACAACCCAACATATGTCTGGTATTTTTACTTTGGGGGAGAAAGAGGATGGGACGATTCGGTTGCGGTGTCTTTATATAAGCCCTCGCCGTAAGGAAAAGGTAATTTAGTAAATAATAGGGTCAAAGACAAATATTGTTGTGGGCTTTTGCCAATGAGGGAACGCTTTCGGCATCTTTTGTGCGTGAAAAGCGTGTGTAAGTTGCTTTTAGAGGCAATTGAGGGCGATTAACTGCCAGGAAGCAACAACGCCAATACACACAAGCCCCTTTATCAGGGGGTTTTGACCCTGTTCGAGTATAACTTGTAGACAGACAATTGGCCCAGTTGTTCTTTTATTTTTTATCGATAGCAAACAGAGGACTTTATGTTGGAAGTCAAAGTTCTTTTCTCACTGAATACTTCTACACATATTTTTTAGTGATTTCAAAATAATAGAGAATAAGAAATTTGACTTCTAACATTTTTGTAACTTTTAACCTATATAATATAAAGCATTACTAACAATCAATCCATCGAAATAGTCCGCATTCTATCAGTTTTCACCATTTTAAATCTTAAATTTTGAATCTAAAACGTATTACCCACTCAGATTGTGGCATAGAAACTGTTGTGGCCAGAGTAACCCAATGGGAAAGAAAAATGTTATGCCATGGCACTGCACACATGAGCGACATCAAAGCGATTGTGGTTCATCTAAGTACAATGTTAACATATTTGCGACAGCGGAATATCGAAATAAAAAGTGTTTCGTGCGCAATCAATTGAAATTAATTTGCATAAAGGAATGTCCGTTGTGCACGCACTCGACTCCAAAGCATAGGCATGCATGCCACTCCACTGACCTTTGACCTCTCACTGGAAACTGGTCTTTGGGACTGGTTTTCTTTTTTGGGGGCATCAGGAATGCCTGATTGCTTATCTCTTGATTTGACTGCACCACAGTTGTTGTTTAATTAGATTTTAATTTGAGGATTATGAGATGGGAGTGGGCGGAAGGCAGGTGCCTCCGCGCTCAGTGACAACAAGTTTCCGACTCGCAAATTTTGCAAGTGAAAACAATTTTCATACAGAATCCTGGCCCGGATGGGCCTTTACACTCTGTCCCGGAAATGTGTGCACTTGCCCAGGGGCATTCAAGCTGGATTCTGCCGGGATGGCAGGGGCAGCGGCAAACTCTGTTGGCACAGCTGAATTTAGGGTTTAAAATTAATTAAGCGGAAGTAACCTAGTACGTTTGATTGTTTTAGACAGATCCTGTGTATGTATGTGTGTGATGTTTTTTAATAAAAATATATACTCATTTCATTTGGTATCTGTAACAACGGTAACCTTAAAGTCATAATCATGAGCTAATGAGCTACATTAATTGTGGAAGGGTCAAAGATACATTGAATTTATTTCTGTAAAGGGTGATATGGTGTAAGCAGTTATAAATTGTTTCAGGGAAGTTCAACTGGTAGATCATAGGTGGCACTATGCAAATGCCTGACAGTGGTTCTGATATATGATCATAGGTGGCGCCAATAGATGATGTAAGGGTTTTCTTCTAAATTGCCTACTTTCCGGCCGGGACAATATTTACCAGTTCTATATCATCATTTGCATGAAATTTTGAAACTTTAACCCTTACAAACATATTAAATGCTCGGCCTAAAAGTTCCTAAGTATACAAGTATGATAACTTGTTGCTCCATTTCCATGGAGTTTTTGAAAGATTGGAAAAATGCCACAGAAAACGCCATTTGTAAAAGCCATTAATTGGTCAAAATCTTGTTATTAAAATGTTTCAAATAATTTTTCAAAGATATAGTGATTTCTAAAAAAATTGGTTGGCCATCTAATATACTTTCTGAAGGAAAGTAAAACTCAAGATAAGAATGCCCCACATATGTTCTTTGAACTCAACGGGTCTATGTGAACATTTCCGACGATAATTGGTAAGGGGCTGAACAAAAATCTGTGTATAGAACACACACCCCAATGAAATTACTCAAATGTAAATGGCTCTTAAAAATCATTGATTGTATGCATACGAGTAAGCATACGGGGCAGTGGATGTGAAATTCGAATTTGAATGCGAGTGCGTTGGCAGTGATTTCGTTAATGAAATTTTTCGTTGACTCTCGTCAATGCGAAAAGGGATGAGGACACACACTGGCCACTCCCCTCAATTTAATTGCGTATTATTTGGCAGGAATATGTATGTACATTTACACTCCTGAGTTACTGGTTCATGGCAAAAGGGTTCGAAACTAATTATTTTACAATGCAATGTACGAGTGAGTATGCCGCCATAGAAGAGAAATGGGGTTTAAAACAAGTTTTTCTGAAGCTCGCTGGCCTTTTTTTTGGAAAAGAATAACATCAATAAGATCATATTTCATGTTAGATTTAATCATATAATTTAGATATGTCATTTGCTGATATAAAAAATAATCATCAAAAATTATATATAAATTAAAGATAGATTATTTATCATTTTGCAGCTTTTGCAGATATTTTTCTTTCAAGATTTCATATACAATATCCTATTTTGGTAAACTTTAAAATCAATCTTTCTGACAGACAAAAAGGTATTTACATGAAATATTTAAAACCCAGAGCATCACGAAAAGTCTGCTGGATAATTGAGAAAATAGCTTGGTCATGTCCTCGTTGATTAGTGGGCAGAAATGTATAAAGCCAAGATATATATAGTGTATGTACATCTGGTTTTGTAATTAATCTCATGCTGCGACACTTCCCACTTTTTTGGCCTGCAACTGGATCGGATAAGATGGGATTTGATCGAAAGTGCTGGCTCACGTGGAATAGATTACTTAAGTCTTAGAGACCCAAAAATAAAAAACTTATTTCATTATGTTGATTGACGATGAATAATTTGGAAATGTAATTATGATTTATACGGTTTCCCTTTGAGCACATATATACTTGATCGCCCAAAAAAAAATCTAAAATTTTACGGTAATGTTGCAATGAATACATGCCGCCGAGACCGGACAGATTGGATGGATGGTTAGTTTTGGATGGATGGATGTTATATTGACTGTCATTGATTAATGCTCCTTGGCGCCGAAAACTTGGGAAAAAGTGCAACTAGACACGCGTACTTGGAAATAATGTGCAGCAGGAAACAAAGCAAAGCCGCCAAGGTGCAACGCCCATGGGCTGTATAAAAACAGGATGGGAGTAAATATAATTAACTGCTTATCGACGGGGTGCGAACAAACCGTCGATTCATCTTGGGAGTACCAGGTCACCGGCTCACCAAAATGATCACGGCACTTTGTCTTCCACAAGAAGAAAAATCAAGAATAGCTCTTTGATTTGGACACGGCTGGAGCTCGAGTATTTTTTTCTCGAACAGGTACATGCATATATGATTGATTGATTGATGATCACCATATGCCGTTTGGATCATCACCATCAGCAGTTGCCTGAAGGACGAGTGTCATCAAAGTGTCTCCTTGCCATGAAGGACTGTGCAAAAAAAGAAAAAAGAAAGAAAAACCGTTTACAGGTTACCAGATAAAATCGGTAATTGGCTTCTCGGGATGCCTTGTGGCGGCAGCAGGAGTAGGAGCAGCGGGAACAGCAGAAGCAGGAGCAACTGGCGGCTGGAACACAGGAGTTAAAGGACTAGGCAGGATTAGAGATCGTAGCTGCTTGGTTGACAAGTGTAGATCGAGTCCCAGTTTCGGAAACTGGACAGGACAGGCTGAGTAATTACACTGAAGGCACATATCAAGTGAATAGGATAATTAGTTGTATTTGCCCCTTTTTGTGTCCTTTTGTGTCCTGCCGCTACAGCTACCGTGGCCGTGTCCGTGCCCTTTTGCTCATTTTTCTCCTCTCTCCTCTCTGGCTTTGCCATTTGGCTGGCCGATGATATTTAACGCTTTGCCGCATTGTTTTGCCTGCTGCGTTTGTTCGCCGCCCTTTGTCTTTGGCAGTTAAACCCCCTACGGGAAAAGGTATGCACATATAGGTATAGAGGAATAGTACCTCTATAAGGCAGGATAACCCAGAACAATCCTACAACCTGCAGTTTTGTTTCGGTGCGCTAAGGCTAAGCGCATGGCGCTAGGATCTTTTCTTCTCTGCCTCTTTCAGTACGATCCTCGTACAAGGATCAGCAAAGGATATTGGCATTGTTAACCTTTGTTCAACCTGCTTGACCTATTATTTTAATTATTCATTCGCAACACTGTGTTATTGTCCAGGCGGCGGCATATGGCCATTGTACTTTCGGTTTTTGGATTTTTACATTGGTTCTGTGTTGTGTTAACCTACGATACTAAGCCATTCCTTTCTTTAGCTCAACTTTTCCACGTTAATCTGACATACATTCGGATCTCGTTGTATTGTTTTCCAGCTCTTCTCGCTGGCCGAACTTAGGGAAATTATAATTGTCTTAATTTAGGAAAACATATAGATTAAATTTCAGGTACAATGGGCACTAGGGCAAATATGTAGATGACTTAAAAGGAACATTTTTTTTGCAGTAGCGTGATGTTAAAAAAGGGAACAGATTATTGTTTATCATATAGTTCGTAACCTAATAAATATGTTTAAAAATTGTAAGTATTTATTCCATTATCTTATCTTTATTATAAGATTTTACACTTGATTGAGACACCTAAGATTGCCTAAAGAACTCAAAGACATATTACTCTTCTTTCTAGAAGAGCTATATTCCTATAGTTATAACGCGAACCCTGCCTAGTTTTCTCTTCAAAAAACATCACAACCCCTTTTCTAACGGGTTGAACACCATTTGAAATTTGATTTGAACCCAAT